AGTGAAGCAGGCTCCTGGGCACAAGCTGGGATGGGTCTGGGAGAGAGAGGTTGCCACAGAGGAGGAACAGCCCTGGCAGAGGGTACCTGCCCTCGCAGACTAAATGGGGGGTCAAGGGGGTCGGGGAATGCCCCTGCCCCATTTCCTGTGTCCCGCTGTGGGTCCAGAACACTCTCTCCACTCAGAAGGATCTTCAGGGGCAGGACCAGGCTTCCCGTTCGCCCATGGACCTCGTCAATAAACGTTCTACCACTCTGCAGGCCAGGCCCCAAAAAACCTACTTGATTTAGTAGTAGTGGAGTGATCTGCTCTCAGTGTGGGCTTCACTGTTTCGTGCTTGGCCTATCCCGCATCCGCTGGGGCCTGCGCGAGGGGGGGGGTCTCCAATGCTCGGGGCCTGCGTGCTGGAGGTCTCCACCGCTGATCAACCCTCTTTATGTATCTTTAGTTACCTATTTCTCCATCACCCCTCCTTCTTTCCACCATATATCCCTTTCTATACTGCTTCCATTAAGGCATCCATACCTAAAGACCTCTTTCCAAAATTCTGCCTCCCACAGGTGACTCAAGTAGATCACACAAAATTAGAGATCTGAAACTAGGATTTACATTTGGAGCAGAATATTTGGAATTTTCTTTTTTGTCATTCCTGGATTCCCCCCCCAAATATAATTATTTCTAGTTTCAGCCATTTACATGGAAATTTCACAACATAATTTATCTTTACAACTGAAGAAAGTCCTATTGTATATATGTACAAATTTTCATTGTCCCCTCCCCATCAGTTGATGGGCATTTAGGTTGATTGCTTATCCTAGTTACTGTGAGTAGAATAACAGCAATGACCATGAATAGTGAAGGACGATATTTAGTGGCATATAAAATACTTAGGGTACATGAGAAGGCATGGTATATTAATGTTCTCTCTAAGTTAAAATCGCTGTTGCTGTAATGAAACACCATGATCAAAGGAACTTGGGGAAGTCAGGACTTATTCAACTTTTTCCTTTTTCTTTTTTAATTGATTTTATTGATCTATACATTTTTTCTCTGCTCCCCTCCCCTCCTTTTCCCTCCCCTTCAACTGTCTCCCATGGTCCACATGCTCCCAATTTACTCGGGATATCTTGTCTTTTTCTACTTCCCATGTAGATTAGATCCATGTATGTCTCTCTTAGAGTCCTCATTGTTGTCTAGGTTCTCTGGGGTTGTGATTTGTGGGCTGGTTTTCTTTGCTTTATGTTTAAAAACCACTTATGAGTGAGTACATATGATAATCATCTTTCTGGGTCTGGATTACCTCACTCAATTGATACTTTCTAGATCCATCCAATTGCCTGCAAATTACAAGATGTCATTATTTTTTTCTGCTGTGTAGTACTCCGTTATGTAAATGTACCACATTTTCCTTATCCATTCTTTGATTGAGGGGCATTTAGGTTTTTCCAGGTTCTGGCTATCACAAACAATGCTACTATGAACAAAGTTGAGCACATGTCCTTGTGATATTACTGGGTCTTGAGGAAGGTTGTTCCTTAATTTTCTGAGAAATTGCCATACTGATACTGGCATCCAAAGGGGCTGTACAAACTCTCTCTCCCACCAACAATTAAGAAGTATTTCATTTACCCCACAACATCTCCAGCATAAGTTGTTATCAGTGCTTTCGATCTTGGCCATTCTTGAAGGTGTAAGATGGAATCTCAGAGTTGTTTTGATTTGTATTTCTCTGATGACTAAGGATGTTGAACATTTCCTTAAGTGTCTTTCAGCCATTTTAGATTCTTCAGTTGAGAGTTTTCTGTTTAGGTCTGTACTCCATTTTTTATTGGATTGTTTGTTCTTTTGATGTTCAATTTCTTGAATTCTTTGTATATTTTAGAGATCAATCCTCTGTCTGATGTGGGGTTGGTGAAAATCTTTTCCCATTCTGCAGGCTGCCGTTTTTGTCTTGTTGACTGAAAAAAGGATGCATATTTAACAAATGGTGCTGGCATAACTAGATATCAACATGTAGAAAAATGAAAATAGATGTATATCTGTCGCTATGCACAAAACTCAAGTTTAAATGGATCAAAGACCTCAACATAAAGCCAGTCACACTGAATCTCATAGAAGAGAAAGTGTCAAGTGCACTTGAACGCATTGGCACAGGAGACCACTTCCTAACTATAACTCCAGTAGCACAGACACTGAGAGAAACAATTAATAAATAGAAACCCCTGAAACTGAAAAGCTTCTGTAAAGCGAAGGACAGGATTTGTTCATCTTATACATCACACTTCAACATCAAAGGAAGTGAACATAGAAACTCAAGCAGGACAGGAACCTGGAGGCAGTAGCTGATGCAAACCCTACAGAGAAGGGATGCTTATTGGTTTACTCCATAATTGTGGCTTGCCCCAATCTGCTTTGTTACAGAACTCTGGACCACCAACCCAGAGATGGCACTACCCATAATGGGCTGGGCCTTTCCCACTAATCACTAATTAAGAAAATGCCCTACAGGCTTGTGTCCTGCCTGATCTTATGGAGGAATTTTCTTAGGAGAACCTCCCTTCTCTCTGATGATGCTGTCTTGTGTCAAATTGACATGAAAGTATAACTGTTCTATCTCACTTTCTGAGGAATCACCACACTGATTTCTATAGTGATAATTTCAGTTTGCATTCTCACTAACAACAGTAACTGAATGTTCCTCTTTCCCTATATATATCTTCATCAGTATTTCTTGTTCTTTGGATTCTTGATGATAGCCATTCTGATTCACATAAGATGGAATCTCAAAACAGACTTAATTTTCATTTTCCTGATGGCCACTGATACTGAACCATTTCAAAATGATAGGAGATATTCATATTTATTCTTTGGGGAATTTGTCTGTTCAAATCTAAGTTCATTCATTAATTGTTTTGCTTCTTAGTCTTCTACTGCATGTATAACAAAAAATTGTGTTGTTTTTGCTTCAGTCAGGTATCTAATCCTGTCTTCTTTAAGTTCATCCAGGTGTTTATTCAAGTCCTCTTTGAATTCCTCGACCTCCGGTGCATGCTTTTAATTTTTCTTTGAATCCTATGTCTTGAATTTCATCTAAATTGTATTCACTTGGGATACATACTATAGGATTTAAGATCTTTAGGAGAGACATATTGTCTTTATTTTTCATATTATTTGTAATTTTATAATGTCACCTGAGTATCTGGAGTTTGGTTCTCGGTTATCCTCTTTTGGTATAATTTTTTGACAAACATTTTGGAGTCTCCAAGTGGGTTGTGGACGACATACTTTGGGGGCATCCCAAAGGAACATTGTTTGGCCGAGGGAGTATCTTTTTAGGGACCTGTGAGTACCTGCAGAGAAGACTAAGGTGGGGTATCTAGCTGGATAGAGGGTGTAAACGAGGATAGTGGTTTCGATCAGGATGGGTGTGACACTTGGTTGGCAGTTACATATTCTCTCAGGATGTAGAACATTATCTTTTTGTGCTCTTCCAGCTCTAAGATATTTAAACAGAACTCTGTTATTTGGGGGATAGGTTTTACTTTGTGGGTAAACTGACACATGTGCCTGTATCCTTTAGCATCAGCATCTGTTATGTGACATCTACTCCTGACACTCATCACTGCATTTTATTATATAGGTTCATTCTTTTTCATGCATATTTTGAATGCCTCCATTATTGGAATGTATATATATTTTTGTAGATTAAGGAAAATCCTTTATGATTTAACATTATATAAACATATAATTATTCTTCTGTGCTTTAGTCTGCATCTGAGACACATTCTTTGCTCAAAGGATACTGAGAAGTAGTCTCTAAACTGAGTTCCAGAGGTCTCCAAAGTAAAGATCTTTTATCTCTCTCTTACTTGTCCTTCCTTCCTTCCTCCCTCCCTCCCTCCCTCCCTCCCTTCCTTCCTTCCTTTCTTCCCATCTTGTAGAATTGGTACTCCACAAGTAAGCTGCCATATCTGGAAGATGGTTTCTGTTATACGCTGTCTTCCCTGTAGATGTTTCTGTGTCAAATCCCTATATTCAGCCAGTTGTCACTTCTTTCCTTCTTTTTATTTTTCCATTTTTTTATGCTTCAAGAGTGTTAGAAGTTCAGTTAATCTCAAATCAGTGTCTAAATTCTGTGTTTAAATTTTTTTCAGAACATCAATATAGTTATTTCTTGAACATTCCTGGGTTGGAAAAGACAAAGGCTATCATTATCTATCTCTTAGCATAAGCCATTATTTCAAACTCACTAGATCTTTTCACTGACAGAACCCTAAGCAACAATGTTTTATTCCTTTTCTGTGTGTACAATATTTGCAAAAATTTAATCAAAATAAATAGCTATTGTTGGGTTTATGATTAATTCATATATTTGTTTAGTGAGAATTCTCAATTACTCACCAAGTCTCAATAGAGAGATGGACACTTGTGATTTAGCAGCAGGCAACAGAAAATTTTCTGATGACTTCAAAAGCTTTTCTGATTTCCAGTATCAAATCTGAAATGGAGACAGGGACTCTTTAGACTGCATGTCTGGTTCTTTTCTTACTGGTCTTAATTAGACTTGGCATTTCCATTAAGACTCTCATTCATGTTTCCATTTTTTCCCAGTTGATATCCTTTCCCTGTCAGGACTGAGAGCAGTGATGGCCATAATTCTAGTTTCCAAGTTCCTGAGCCAGAGAAGAACCAGTATTAGGATAGAGAGAAAGTAGGGTTCAGAGTTCCATTTCTTTCTGACACAGCCCAAGACACTGAGTGTCTATATTGGGGTCACCAGATACTCTCAGGTCATTACAGGACATGGTTTGTTGATAGCCCAAATCAATTACAAGCTGGATTTAAATGATGTCTCCAGAAATATCTGTTTTCATAGTTTACTCAGTCTCTACAATCCTCTTACCCTCTCTATGAACCAGGCCAGTCATTTACCCAGAGCAAAATGGTACTGAGAAGAAGAGAGAATGTAGTATATGTTCATATCTTGTTTTTTTTTCCAGGAACACTACTGGAGAGCTCCTAAGAGTGGATGCAAACATCACAGACTGGGGGACTAACATCACAACAGTGAATGGAAGAAACCACACTGAAATTCCACTTTGTGCCATCATATACTGTACCATGACCTTCCTTTCCCTCATCATTGCCCTGGTTGGGCTGATTGGAAATGCCATAGTGCTGTGGCTTCTGGGCTTCCACATGCAAAGGAATGGCTTCTCTGTATACATCCTCAACTTGGCTGGAGCTGACTTCCTTTTCCTCTGCTTTCAAATCGTACAGAGCCTTCATATTATATTGGACACACTCTACTCCAAGACCATTGACATTCCTCTCTTTTCTTTTGTTGTATTAAACATTGCTTATCTTTGTGGCCTGAGCATGCTCAGTGCCATAAGTATTGAACGAAGTCTGTCTGTCAGGTGCCCCATCTGGTATCGCAGTCAACGCCCAAGGCACACATCGGCTGTCATATGTACCCTGCTTTGGTTTTTGTCACTGCTGCTAAGCATCCTGGAAGGGGAAGAATGTGGCTTCCTATTTGATAGTCTTGGCCATGGTTGGTGTCAGACATTTGATTTCATTACTGCTGCATGGTTAATTGTTTTATTTGTGGCTCTTTTAGGGTCCAGTCTGATCTTAATGGTTACCATCTTTTGTGGCACACACAGGATCCCTGTGACCAGGCTGTATGTAACCATTGGGTGCACAGTGTTGGTCTTTCTGCTCTTTGGTTTGCCCTATGGAATCTACCAGTTTCTCTTAGAATGGATTGAAAATTTTAATTATGTTGTGCTTTGTGATTTTTATTCAGTGACAATATTTCTGTCATGTGTTAACAGCTGTGCCAATCCTATAATTTATTTCCTCGTTGGCTCCGTTAGGCATCGTAGGTTCCAGTGCAGGAGTCTCAAGCTACTTCTGCAGAGAGCCATGCAGGACACTTCTGAAGAGGAAGAATGTGAAGAAGGGGTTTCTTCAGAAAGATCTAGAGAAACAAAAACAGTCTGGCAGCGATTGAGATCTGTTTTAATCAGGCAGAAGTAGCCTTGAACATGGCTTTGTGTTTATTAGTTTGTGACATTTTCATCATATTGTTTAGTTGACAAACCAAGTTTAAATCAATTGAGAAAGTAGTCAATCTTGTGGAAGTTGATTTATACTGGACTTGTTATACAAATACTGACTTCAGCATTTCTGGAGCTGTCTTACTCAGGGCTTTAACATCTTCTTTTGATGGAACTCCTTGGAAGCTCTCTGGGGTCCAGGAGAGCTGTTTACCACTATTGACAAATGCCTTTTTCATTAGAAGGAAAATGTAATAAAGAACACCATGTATTTGGTCACTGAAGGTGATAGTGAGTTAAATCTATGCTATATTTTGAGAAAGTTGCAATTTCTGATTTTTGTTTTTTTTTTTAAGGTTTTAAAAGAAGCTTTTATTTAATTTTTGTAATGTGCATTTTAGGAAACAAAGCACAAGAAGGTAAGAACAAAGTCACCCAGCTGCAAGCAGCTCATCTTGATGAGTCCTAGATTCAAGTGTGAATACATTTAGGTAATTGAGGTTATACAGTATATACTATGCCTTCTACCACACTGTAAATACTCACCAACTATTAACCCCATGCTCCATGAATAATTTTATAACCAAGCATGCACCACACCATCTCCATCTGCCAGACAAAACTGCAATCCTATTTTTCTTTGCAACAAAAATCTCATAGAAGATAAAAATGGCAGTGGCCCTCATACTGGTGAAACAACAATTAGAATTCCGCATTCCTTCAATGTTCAGCTCACAAAGAAACACAAAGCAACAGACCATACTAAGTACAGCATTTCTAAGTTTTATACAGATCTATATACTAAAATATGAGGAAGGTGGTGTGTTCCTGCTTAATGTATTTCTATGGATTAGTTGGAAGATTCACCTATGGCAGGATTTCTTAGGACATCAATTTCAGCACAATATTGCAGAGCTCACCCTGTGAGCCTCCTTCTGCCCCTCTACAGTCAGCCAAGCAACATGAATGAACTCACACTGTCTGGATATGACTCAACAATTCTATATTCAAGTGGAACCTTTTCTGTCATTTCTACCATGCTCACTAGTTTTTAATCATATGCTCTCCTTTAGGTCAATTATAAAGTTCAGATATTGTGGAATAAACTTTGTGCACAATAAACAAAAGCATCCTACCTGAAAGGCACATATAGATTACTGGGTACAGTTATAACTGTTTTCTAGATGTGGTGGTACTATCAAAGAGCACTTTTCTCTTCTGCCCTCTTCTGTGTATAACTCCAGTTCAGGATGACGTGAGTGACAGTATCACAAAGACAGTATTATGTTCCACTTTCTCTTCTATCAGGTTCAGTTTGGTCAGATTTATATTGAGGTCTTTAATCCATTTGGGCTTGAGTTTTGTGCATGGGGATAGGTATGGATCTATTTGCATTCATCTACATGTTGATATCCAGTTATGCCAGCACCGTTTGTTGATGATGTAGGATTCTCCTCTGTATGAATACCATTGGTGAGTGAAGAAACTGCCCCGGCCTGTTGATAAGGCAGAACTTAGGTAGGCAGGGAAAACTGAACTGAATGCTGGGAGAGGGGAAGCAGAGTTAGAGAGAAGCCATGGAACCTCCACCGGACACAGACGTGTTGAAACTTTGCTGGTGGAACACCACCTCATGGTGATGCACAAATTAATGGAGGTGAGTTAAATTAAGAGTTAAATTAAGAGTTACCAAATAAGAAGCCAGAACTAATGGGACAAGCAGTGATTTAAATAATATAATTTCTGTGTTATTATTTTGGGGCTGAGCAGCCAGGAAACAATGAGAAGCCTCCTTCAACAAATTGGTATACCAACATGGTTAACTAAATCCACTTAAAAACCTGAGAGAGCTTGAAAAGGAATTCTAGACACAAAAATACAGAGTTTAACACAACTTCTTGCTGTTTGCTGGTGGCATGGTGCAGCTCCTTTAAGAGAGGTTTTTCCTGACTCAGTGGTAGCAGAAAAAATAGCTGTTCAACTTTGAAAGGCAGGCTTTTGGGGCCATGCTGCCAGTGCAACCTCTGGTTCTTTCAGGAAACTGAGCATTTGAATGAGGTTTGCGAGCAATGTGCTATGGCTCACTTGGTGGCAACATAGACTGTAGACTGGCTGTGTGCCTAGAGATGGGGCAGTATGCATGGTTCTTGGAGGTGGTAAGCAACTCCACCATGCTGGACTCGGCAGGGCAAGCAGGTAGTGTGGTATTTCCTCTAGCAATGGTGCAGCTTGAGTTTTTAAGATGCGCTTAGCATTTTAAGAAGTGCCCCTGGACAGTAAAGAATTACAGATACACAATAGGAAAAATTCAGACATAAAAAAACCTCAAAATGGGTCACAGTAATGGATAAATGGTTGTAGGCTTGGGAGAAAAAAATAAAACAAAGTCTTAAAAGAGAAAGAATAGAGGCATCATGAATTAAAGGAGTCAAGGTAATAAAATAAATATTAAAAAGTAATAAGTAAGGAAAGCCACATATGATGGAATATACAAAAGAGTTTGGATTATTGGTATAGGAGATCTTTCTGTATCTGTGCTGCTTTCATTGGTTAATAAAGCTGATTTGGGCCTGGTGATAGGGCAGAACTTAGGTAGGTGGGGAGACGGAACTGAATTCTGGGAGGAAGAAAGCAGAGTCAGAGAGAGCCATCATGGAGAGAACCACCATGGAGCTTCCAGAATCAGACATGCTGAATTTTTCCTGGTAAGCCACAACCTTGTGGTGAAGACAGATTAACAGAAATGGGTTAAATCAAGATGTGAGAGTTAGTCAATAAGAGTCTAGATATAATGGGCAAGGCAATGTTTAAGTGAATACAGTTTCTGTGTGATTATTTTGGGTGTAAGATAGCAAAAGGACCCCACTCTCCCTGCAACAGATTATGTATATTATTGTGTTGTCTTTGAATTTTTTTTGACTGTGAAGTAGCTAAGTACAAAGAGACATTTAATTGTACAGGCTGCTAAACTAAACCACTGTAAAGGTATCTTGAATTTAAAATTTGAGTCTAAGGATATGTTGCTTTGAAAAAGAGGTCCTTCTTTTGTTTCTACAGAAGATGAGAATCTGTGGATTTTTCTTCCAGACTAACATATTTTAATGGATCAAAATCCCCTGAAAGGTTGTCTTGAATACCCCTCAAAAATTACTTTACCTAACATACAGCAGGAAGCAGTTTGGAGAAGAACTATGCCCATATTTCCAAATATTGTTTATAAATGTTTGTTTACATTTTAAAAGGGATATGCTATAGAGATTTGCATTGGTAAGGATCTTGGTTTATTGATACAAATTTAAGGTTAATTTTGCTATATGTATATTTCTGCTCTTGATTAAGGTATTGTGTTTGTCCAGCTCATATAAAAATGTGATTTTACATTTTTAAAAAATTTAGGTTAATAGTTAACCAGCTCTAATATTCAAGTTTGTAGTCATGTTAGTTAGACATTTTAGATGTACAGAGACGTATTTCAGCAAGATATGGATTCTTCAAATCTTTTAAAGGCTACAGAATATGGCATTTAAAGTGTTTTAAGAATTTAGGACTTTTCATAACAGTGAGACACATCTGCTCCTGGCAACACCAATCTACATCTAGAAGAAGATGGGCATTGAAGAGACTCCTTATGAAGTTGTTTAGACATTTGGGCACAAAACTGCTCTTGCCTCAACTGCTTGATGAACTGGACATGCAGGACCCACAGAGAAATGACTTCTGAACTTGGCTAAATGTGAGACCATTCTTTGGGGTTTCTGCTTCATCAAAGAGTCTGCCAGACAATCTGCAGGATACAGAAGAAAGTGACTGATAAATGGTCAATGTAGGCAAAACTGTCTTTGAAATTTCCTGCTTTATGAAAAGTTCTCTGGATACTATGGGCCAGTAGGCTGATGATGAAATGGTACAGAAGAACTTTGGGTGACTGTCCAGGCTATGAGATGTCTCTGTCATTTCTAAAATTTTGGAAGTTGCTTACAGTGTACTTCCTGTTTCCGTAGGTAATATCATGTCCTTCTGGAGCCTTTGATGAAGTTAAAGGACAGATAGTAGCTAGTAATACTATAGTTTTCCTTAGTTATGGTAAAAGATAAAATAGATATAAATATTGTAACTCTAATTCTTGCTTGATAACTGTTTTTTTTGTAATTTTACTATGTTAAAATTAAAACCGTCCTTCTTTTTTTAAATTGATTTTTACTGAACCCTACATTTTTCTCTGCTCCCCTCTGTTGTAGGAAGTATTACTATTTCTAGGATGTACTGACCTCACAATGGAAGCCAGGAGATGTGCTGTGTTGGGGAAGGGTTTTTTTTTTTTTTTTTTTTTTTTTTTTTTTTCTGACCCCAAGTAGTTTATTTAAACATATTTAAGCACAGCACAATTTGGTCAAAATTTTCTGGCTATAATTAACCCATGTATACAATAAAACATACATAAATCTCTTTGAGGAACAAAGTAAGCTAAATAAAGATCAGACATGACAACATGGAAACTCTTCATGAAGTACATGTGACATCTTCCATAAAGGGGTCTCTAGATTGACGACACATGACGCCTTCCTTGAAGATAGGCTATATAAATTGACTGAGAAAACAAGGGTCTGGGACGAGGGTCCTGTGTAGCCACACAGATAGTGCAAAGGTCACCAGGCTAGAACACTCATCTGCTCCCAGCCTTCTGGGAGGATAACAGGTATTCTATTCCGTGCCATGTGTGTCACTCTTCTGGGTTCTCCTAGTGATTATCCCTTAGCACAAGGACCTCTGTGACTCCTGCAGTTCTGAACAAGTCCCTCTGGTGTTTGAGCCTCTGCCTTCCCTCTCTGGTTGGGCCCGTCTTATGTCTCTAGATTCAGAGTTCCAATACCAGAATGCTGAGGTCTGGAATCAGACACATTAGCCCTAACTCATCCAGATGAAGATTGACAGTTGAGAGCATCCCCTGCGAAAACTGAATTACCCACTTGGCCAAGAGAT